GGCAGTCAGAGTTGCACCCAGTCCACAGAGCACCAGCCCCTCACCGATCCTCCTGCAGGTGGCAGGTCCACAGGAGCCTTGGTCTTTCAGCAGGGGCTTCAGGTAAAGTCGGGTTAAGTGTCTTGCCCAAGGACACAACGATAGCCACGACCTTCAGGCTCAATGGCCAATGCTCTACCAACTGAGCTACTGTCGCCCCTTGATCTCTAGTTTGATACTGTAATTACAAGATTCTGATGCGTATTATTCAGCGGAGTCTCACCCAAGGAGTCATTGCAATACAAATTCAGGTCCTGACCATGTCCCAGTTGTCTCTCTATAGAAGCTGATACATGTTCCCTGTGGTGTCACAGACAGAACCTCTGGTGAAATGTCGAACATTCAGGCTCTCATCCTGGTTGGGTTTCTGGTAATTATTTCAAGCCCAGATTAGTATGATTTCAAGAATTATTATTACCATTACTATTTCTTTGAGTAGTATTTCCAACCTTCTCTCATCACAGTGCAGGATCAGGCTCTCACATGCAGGTGTGGCCACGGATCAAGTGTAGCCTTTCTCGGATTCATGTCCGGAATATACTCAGTATATTCCAGGCCCATCCTGCATCACAGCGGCAGTCCTGAGAGAACAGCTGTCATTTGTGTATAAGGGAATCTCATCAGAGTGAAGGAGCGGAATGGATTTCAGATTTTCATGCATTTACCTGTCTGAATTTTATTTTCTGTTTCCTCCACATCTTCAGGCAAAGATTTGAGAATGTTCAATGATTGCAGTGTCCCCTGTAGTAAACATCATTTAACTGACTGTGGCTGGAAATGGCCCGCCTGCTCTTACAAGATATATTTGCCATTCTTATGAACACCAGCAAGAGCTGCCATGTTATAAATGGGATTTTCTCTGTAACAAATACTTTATACAACTTGAATAGTGTGTCATGACCACTAACATAAAGATTGTAGTTGAATCCATTTAAATACCACAACAAAGTAACAATGGCGTGAAAGCAGAATAATATTAATACCATCATTATATTTTAATAAAACATTTAAAGTGTGGTTTGCTCAGTTATTCTTTGAGCATTACATTGCCTTTGTATTTCCTAATGACTGCTGAATGGGGCACTTTGCCCTAACAATAAAATAGAAAAAATCTGAGAATAATCCTGTTCTGGGATGAATTTAGGGCTATACTTTGTGTGTATTGGTCTGTAAACAGCATCATGAAGGCGCACACGAGAGAGGTCAGCACAAATAATGTTTTTGCAAATAGTGTGAATTTCATTAGTTCTGATATTTTGCATATTTCAATCATGTACATTACAAACAATGTAAGTTCCAGTATTGTCTATTGCGATAACTTCTGATTTGTACTGGTCATTTTGTGCAATCTGCTTCTTCTCACATAAGTGTTCATCTCCTGATTTGGAGAGTGAGTACACTTTTCCCGTTCTTCAGCTCCTCTCTGTGTGCTTAAATGGGTTGAGTTGCAGAATACTTAAGCCTGAACCTTTAATATTTAATATACAGACGTATTAGTTCCTCCTCTTGTCAGCTGCAATCAACAACTTGTAACCAGTGCAATGACCAAAAGCTTGCAGTCAATCTTTTATTATTGGAGTTTGGTTGGAGTCCTGGATTTCGCACTTTTATCTGCACTAGAGATTGGACGCATTTGTGTCACTCCTTACAGGTGTCATACGGGGGAGCCCCATAGTCATCAGCCCTTGATATTTGCCTGCACTGCTCCATGTACAGCTTAACAATGGACAATAACAAGAGGGCACTTACTGACCCAAATAAACACAGCTATTGAACCTGATGGATTACACGTGCATCTGTTGAAAATTACCATACAGACAGTGAGATTTAACACAGGGCCATCTGTCCCCATGGCATTGTGGACGAAGTACAGTGTGACGGAGGGGACTTTCACGGTCATTGTTGAGACAGGTATAAATCCCAGAATGCTGTAGCTCGCTGCCTCCTTGCTCTGCCTGGGATAATGGATTGGCCATGGCCCTGGTTGAGTCTGCTTGTCTGCATTTGAACATGCTGTGGGTAAAAGGGAGCGAGGTCAGTTCCCACACACATTCTTTGTACTGACACTTTTATCCTTATTCCAACTAAATCCTAACGAAGGAAAAACAGCACTTTACGCATGTTTAACCCATAGACTTTCAAATCACACAAATGATTCTTAAAGTAGGACAAGCATTTGAAATAGTGACCTATAGCCGAGTCTGATGTAACATGATGCAAACTGTGAAGCAACCGTGTGTGTGGCAGCAAGTACTGTGTGTAAAACAAAAAATGTGCAAATTATTAAAAGATTAACATATAACAAATATTTTACTTAACTTATACTTTTCTATTTCAATCTAGGAAGTAAATAAAATAGCAGTTATTTCCCTGTTACGTAAGTGTATGTCTATTGTAACAATACTTTTACTTTAGTGTAGCCTCATACACCTTCTCCATCTCTATTAGTGGAAGCAAAAAACGTTTAAGGCCCACAACTTTTATATCACCCTCTATATCTCCTTGTCCTGACCTGCCTGTATTTCATCCAGAGGTGTTTTGTCATCTGCCTCACTAAAGGCTGTTGGTGAGTCCACAGCACAACAACAAAAGGGACAGGCCGGTGGTATTAATCACTTTCCAACTGAAGTTCTCTAACCCGTAGTATGGCTCATTGTGGAGACTAGTCATTTATTTAACACTAAAATATGGTGCTAGCCTGTTTGTGGAGGACATGTCAATGTGCTCACAAAAGAAGGAAACAAAAAAATCCCAAAAAGGCGGCACACTTCAAGAGACAAAGGGTGAATGCTGAGATGGAGTGGTGTTTGCTCTGAGGGTGGGTGCAGGGCAAGGGTAGATGGATCAGGGAGGGGGGGTGAATAGATGAATGCTTATTATGCAGTTAGTCGATGCACATGGGGAGATAGTGTTGGACAGGGGTACGAGGAGGGTGTGAAAGATCCTTTGTCAAGGCCGCCAGTTAATCACTTGAGCGGCACACGCCGTTGTATGGGGAGCACATGCTGAACACTGGGTCCCTAGGGGAGGTGGGTGGGGCCTAGACGGGGGTCCCAAACACCCCCATGTACACACAGCCACATTTTTATCAGTTATAATGCAAAGCTGGAAAGCAGAGGTACCCACCCCCTTATGATAGTTTAGCGTCCTGTGTTAGTGGCAGTCAGTGCAAGCTTGTATTGGGGCCAGTGCACTTGTGCGTATACCTGGAATAGATGAGACCACAGAGGCCTTGTGGAAGATGAATGCTTAGTGAGAGAAAGCAGTAAGTACAATCTATTGTTTCATTACTTCAGTTGGTGTCAAAGGAAAATACTAATATCAGTGAGTAATAGTGAGGTTGTGATTTAGCTATTGGCTCGGTCCCTGTTGGTAATGGAGTAAAAGATGCCATTTGACTTGAGTAAGCATTCTCAAATTGTAGTAATTATGCTGGTGACCCGTATAATAAAAATGCTTGCCCTTATGTATACATTTGTAATTAAGGCACCCCAATATTACTGAGAAGAGCTGCAGTACAATAATGTGGCGCAAACATTTTTATAGTGCCGACCATTTAGTCCTGAATTAGAACTGAAAGTCTTAGTGAGCAAAATCCTCAAATCCTCAAACTTTTAGGCATCAACAGCAAGTTAAGTTTTCTTTATGTTTACAATCCAGTGATTTCCTGTCTACGCGTCTGTTCATGTGGCTCATTTACTGTCTTCGTCCTATTATTTCCCTGTCATGAATCCTATCTTCTACATGTCTCCTCTCGCTTATAATAATTTTTCCCCAATAGAAAGTGACAGCCTTGATCCACTCTCCCTCTTTGTTTTCATCTTGCTGGAGACTGACGTTCATGTATTTCTTACAACAAGTACTCATGAAGAATCAATTATCGCTGGAGTTTTTAGAAAACATATATTAAAATACAAGTTGAGTGCTTTGTTGCCAGGGCCGTTGTAAAAACCTCAGTGAGGACCAGGTGGTTGGGGATACCCACAGTGCATGGCCCATGGTGATATCTGCTGGGAGGACGTTCCCCTGTGGATTACATGTCACACTAAAGCAGCATCTGGGGTCTTTTAAGTAGACAGCGCAAAACAAACACACACAAAGAACTAGAATACGTCAATTAGTTCCATCTCATATTTAACCCTTAAACTATAATGCTACAAATTCTGCTAATCGAGTGAAATAGGGGAACAAATGTGACACGTGACAACAATTATTTGTTTTAAACTAGTATGACAGCCTTTTTAGTTCAAAAATTGTATGTGAAACAGACAAAGAGTGGAGCCCTGAAACTTTAGAAGAGATAGAGGACTCCTAAAAATCAGAAATGAAAAGATAATGTAAAAAAAAGAAATGTTCGTTTCTGTACAGCGTCCTGGCAATTCTGCGACTCTGGCATTGAAAGGGGTAACTATTGATTATACCCCAACATTTATTCACAACCAGCCAAACACTAAGGATAAAGATCATTTCAGAGAAGATTGTCATAGGGACTGAAATGTAGTTATTTCAAATCCGTGGATGCAGGCAGAAGAGCAACATTTAAGCTTGACTTTAGTAACTCTGAATAAGTCGTCCTGTCTGGCGTTGGAGCTTAGACTCTTTGTAGTTTAGTGCCAGAAGAAAGGTGCCCTTAAGAGTTATTTGTCAAATTCAATGGTCCGCTATAAATCTGGTCTCACAAAGCCTGGGCAGAGGGCCATAGATATACAGCTTGTTTGTTCTGCTAATGTGGACAACCCCTACTCCACAATGCATGTCAGGACTGAGTTACTGATATAAAAAGCATTCATATAGTACTGTGTGTTGTTTCTTTATGTAGATGAAGAGCTTGACAGTGCTGCTCTTGGGTCAGGAGGATTGCGTTTGCTTCACTTGAGTGGACCACCAGGGCTTCTTCTGCACCAACCCCCGCCCCCGCTCACCCAGCACACAGTCCCTACATCACTGATGCCTGCGGGACAATGGGCAGCGTGAGCAGCCTAGTCACGGGCAACCAAAGCCTCAGCCACGCAGCCAAGCACTGCAGAGCTTCAGGCCAACCCAGGCTGAAGCAGGAGCGGAGTGAGCAGCGCAAGAGTGGAGGGTGCAGCCTGGACGACCTACTCAAGTGCAGTTTTAGTCCCGGTTCCTCCTCTCATCCCACCAAAGGCCTGTCCCATTCTCGATCGGGACGCAGTGAGGACTTCTTTTATATTAAGGTAGACCTAATACATGTTCAAACTGGGATACATAATACAAACAACAATGTGATAAATATCTATTGAAGTAGTTACTTGCTCTCTAAATCGTTTTGGTTCTATCACCAGTTCTCACATGCTTCAGTCACATTTTTGAATAAGCTTTTTCATATACAAAATATTACCATTCTCAGCTTTCAGCCCAAAGCTTCAAATGGTGACATACAGGATAGAAATGAAATAGCATGATGGGGTGTGATTTGATCACACATTGTACTTTTACAAGATCATTTTGGTGTGGGGGGTGTTAACTCCTTGATAGTTGTTGATTGTGGTCCATGGTTGCACTTAAAAATCGATCACCATATTATAGTTTATATTAAGTAATTTACTATGGATTTTTAGTAGCAATATTAGCACCATGGAGAAATTTAAGCAGGATTAAAAGGGCATAGCTGGAGGTATACAGTGACCATCAAAATGGCACAATGTCAATTTACATGTTTTAAAAGTTGCATAAAAGATGAGTATTTTCTTTACGTGCTTATGCAGTTTTTGCGTTTCACTTGAAGGTAAGCCAGAAGCCGCAGCACAGAGGATCAGGCATGGAGGAGAGTGACTCAAACAGCGATGAAGAGACTCCTCCAACTCTGTTGTACAAGACTTTGACAGACAGGGTGAGCAGACACGCACTGCACAATGTGTGTTTTGAGCATACTGTAGAATATAATAAATCCATGATTTTGACTCAAGACAGCCTGAGATGTCTGCAACGACTATTTGATGACATTTCTCAAGTCTATGTTCCTCGACTTCATAAGGGAGATAATCTTAACAATTCAACCCTCTAGCACTATAATGTGAATTTAAGAAAAAGTTGTTTTCCCCCTTTATATGGGCCTAACAGCATCCAGAAGAAAAAATGATTCCATGAATTCAGATACAAACTGGCCTCCAGAGGTTTTACATAAATCCTTTTTGCTTACCCCATGTTTTAATAGACATAGAACATCCTTAAAACTCCAATTCAAAACTTGGCCTGTGAGTTAATAACCTAGCCACCGACTGGACTTGATTGTTTCAGACAAATCAGCGCAGAAATTGGGAGCCAAACATAGTCTCTTCAGCATGTCCTAATTCCTCAGGGGCAAGAGAAGGGAAGAGAAAGCAAGTTCAGAGAGAAGGGGTCAGAGCGAGGTGTAGAAGGAAAACAGGCAAAGCAGCAGCGTATCCAGTCATGAAGTCAGGGAGGAGGAATGCTGAGCTCACAAGCTTTAGCTCCAATACTTCAGCAGTAGCTCATATTATTAATATCACAGAGAAGGGCTATTCATCTTCCCTTAGACAGCGAGAGGAGGGGAGCTGCTGGGGGAGGCACAGTCATGTTCCTGGACAGCACAGATGGGGCAAGTACTGTATAAGTTTATCTGTGGAGAGATTTCCCCAATCCAATCAAACTCACACTGCATAGGTAGTACATTATGACCACACGGCAGTTGCGTGGTTGTACTTTATCTGCTCTTGCGTACCCTAAACATGGAAATGGAAAATGTACTCATTAGTATACAGTGTTTTAAGCTTTTTTTTGAGGAAAAAAAGTTTGAGGAAATACAAGGATGGTGTATATACATGACAATTTACTGTTGCAAGGCAAAGTGGAGCGAATAAAGCAGGGGAGAACTGTGTCTCTTTTTTCTGGCAGACATCCACTGAGCAGCCACTGGTCCGTGCATTCACGCCTGTTGTGCCCAAGAACACAACCTCCACAGAGACAGGCTACAAAAGCCTGGACCACGTCCTCGCATCAAGGGAGAAAACAAGGCCAGATGTCGTTCAAAAGACTGAAAACCTCTCAGGTATAGTCGTATTATTTCTAAAGTAATCCAAATATTCACAATTTTGACATTCATTAAGTTATAACTAAGTTTGCAGACAGTAGGCAAATACAAACACATCCATAACTGGCAAAATGTCAAAACAGATAGTAAGACATTCTGTATGATCTAAATGCTCTATAGATTAAATTGTGCTGTTTAGTCTAAATAAATTGATATCTGTCTTTAATCATTCCAATTATTTTAAGACATGCTGAGCCATCTAATCATCCAGTAAATATAAATAGATCTTGGGAATACTCGTTCTTTTGGGGGCTATGAGTCTTACCAAGATTATTATTTTGCAGGAACTCTCTCCGACTCGGGTCGAAACTCCATGTCCTCCCTGCCCACCCACAGCACTGGTGACAGCTTTGGCCCTGGCTCTCACCGGGGCGGGAGTTCACCCGCAGCACACAGCCTAAGCAAGGGTCTCCTGCCCACATTCCCCTCGTGGCTTAATGGGATAAATGTGAGCCCAGAGTCCCGATACTCCCCAGCCTTTAATAGCCCTGTGTCTAAAGCTAATGCCAGCACTAACGGCTCGCTGTGCTCCGGAGACAAGTTCAGTCCTCTGAGTGAAACCACAGGCGGGATCCGATCGCCCATTACAGCAGACGACTCTCTGATTGAACATTTGGAGCACAGACTTCTGGGAAGAGAGAGTGAACTGCGGAGACTACAGGTACCATGAAATCATCGTTCCCCTAATCAGTGCAACCAGAAGTTATTTTAACATAGGTTTTGTGACTTTCAAGCAGGTGAGTTTGGAGGAGAAAGGAGCAGAAGCTGTTCAGAGGATTGAGGAGAGGCATCGACACTGTGTGGATGAGATCGAAGGCCTGAAGCAGCAGTGTATGATGCAGCAGACGGTCAACAGAAGTCCACAAGGCTTACACCTGCAGGTCAGCAGGCTGCAGGTCAGTCTACTCACACTGGAACACTGCAACACTGAAGAAAATATGTGTCTCTTCAGTTAGCATCAGATCTGAACAAACTTCAAAAAGTATATGCATCAAAGCTGGGGTACTTGATTTTCAAACTGTTGCACTCTTAAATGACCAAACCAATGCAAAATATATTAGGAGGAAGAAAATGGATGGATTTTACAATTACATGACTCTTTCTGTTGGGACAAACAACATTAGTTAGGTACCCATCTTTAAAAACGGAGCATCAAAATAATTAAAACACAATAAAAACTTGCAATAATAAAATTGAAATATATTAATATTACAAAAATGGCAGAACAAATCTTGATAGAATGAGCCACACGTCTTCCACACAGATTCAAAATTGCTGCACAAAATACTAAGTAAACATAAAAACTATGATAAGAAAACATAATAAGACGATTAAAATAATTTATTTTTATTGATTTAACAGCAAAGCACAGTGTGACTTTTTGTATAAAAAGCTCTCTACAAATCAGGATGGATTGATTGTAAATATTCATATACATTACAATGGGATGTTTTTGGACATTCAAAGATGATTTACATTACATTGCCAGTAATGATATACGATGGTGAGCAGGGCTGCTAATTTGTGCAATCATGTTCATTTTAGCACTATTTCTACTAGAAAACTCAATGCTAAAACAAGCAAATTTTAGAAAGAATCTTTTTTTTTTTTTTTTACGAGAATGTTCACTGAACTCTTGAAGACAGACTAACTGATTCCAGAAGGTTTTTTTTGTGTGAAAAGTAAAATTTCTTCATCATGTCTGATTGAACACATTTTTGTCTTTTGTAGGAGGAGAAGCAGAGACTTGAAGATCGCCTTCTTAAATTGACCCAAGAAAAAGAACAAATGGAACTGAGGCTGCGGGCCTTCGAGACACACAGCACAGCACTGGCGCCCACTCTGGAGGAAACTCAATGGGAGGTGCGTCATACAGAACTTTCTATAGCTTTTTTTACTCATGAAACAAATTAAAATTATAGGTAACATTTCACGCATTTTAGGCTTATAATTCTAACTGTCTGCATTTTAGCATGGTTTGGATATTACACTAATTACTGTGATGTATTTTGGAGAGTGATGAAGTGAAGTTATGGCTGACTTTCCTCTAATATAAATCTGTATCTCTGTACGTGTTAATACATGACAAGCATCACAGCTCTTTTCACACACTAACTTCAGCACTCAAAAGTAATTAAGACAAATTTCACAGAGCAATGAAGCAATAAAATAGAAGAAGACGCTGCATGATATTAAGATTCTAACAGTGAGGTAAAAGTCAGGACGCTCGGCATGAATTATTGATGTAAACCTTACTTTAGGAATGGAATGATAATTTCCAAAATGTATGCTATAACTAGTCGTATGGTTTAGTGATATTATGAGGGGATTGAACACACACGTTCTCTCACAGGTTTGCCAGAAGACAGGGGAGATCTTTCTGTTGAAGCAGCAGCTGAGAGACAGTCAGGCGGAGGTGAGCCACAAACAGAGTGAGATGCTGAATCTGCGAACTCTGCTGAAGGACGTCACGGCAAAACTGGAACTGGTGGAGAAACAGAGCCGAGAGCACGAGGGCAAGCTGCACGAAAGAACGCGAGAGGCAGAGGTACAGGCCACACACACTGAAGACAGACTGTGTTGGTGGGACATGGTCTCTATAGTAAATATGAATCATAGTTTTTCATCCATAAAGTTATAGCTTGTGACAAAAGAAAGTTGAAAAAATATATATACTTACATATTTATACATACAGGAAGAGTTAGGAAGGGTTCTAAAAGATGTAATTCCACTTGTTTCATCCATCCAAAACTATTCAATAATGAAACGGGCCAAACAGGAGGCAACATTAAAAACACATTCTTAGGACACCCTTCTGAATTAAGTTTTAGTGAAATTAGTCATCTAATCGGTCAAAAAAGCTGTAATAATCCAGTTGATGAAGTGCATGATGACTTATCTTAGTAAAGATAATTAAAGATAGCTCTCCTATCAGATATCCTGGATCCAGACGAAGAACCAGGTTTTTCTGAAATTGAGCTGTTTGTCATATGTTCCATGTTTCCAGAAAACGTTGTTAAAGAATCTGCCCAGAACTCTTTAAGTTATATTGCTGACAGAGAGACAGATTAACAAACCTAGTAAATAAATTAGTAAGTAAGTAATCTTTATTTATATAGTAGAGCCACAAAACATACTGTAGTTAGTATAATTATTTGTGTGACATTTATAATTTCACTAGAATGAGAGGGCCAGTACATGGTCCATGCTTCACTCTCTATGGTCTCCATTTCTACATTGGTAATCGACAGCTCAAACTTGCATGTGAAAAGCCAGATCCCATCAGACCTCTATAGCTTTGCACTGCGTGGGTTAGTACTGTGATGGGAGACCTCAGAGGGAGACCTCTGGGAGGGTGGCTGTGGCTGTAAAGTACTAAACTGTACTACCGCCCTTTAACAAACCAGAATTACAACAATCATTTGGCCTCTCACTCCACAAAGAGAAGTGAGATGTTTTTAGTGGCAGGGGAAACCGGAGTACCCGGAGTAAACCCACGCAGACACTGGGAGAACATGCAAAATCACTCAGTAAGGCCCTGTTCCAAATGGGATTCAAATCCAGGACCTTCTTCATGAGAAGCGAGAGTGCTATCCACTCAGCCACCGTGCCGCCCAAGTCCCACCCATGCCCAGATGGGGCCAATGGTACATATTGTTTTTTTTTTCTTCTGATGATGCATTCTTGTATAAGTGGATTCATTACCTCTTCATCTACGGGAGAATATGGGCCTCCCCAAGCTTTCTCAAAAAAAATTCCCAATAGTTTATTTATTCTTCTTGTTCATATACTTTTTCTGTGTTGGAACTGTTCTCTAATCTGTTGTTGGTAAATCAACAACTTTTTAAACTTCTATGAGACAACTGCTGTGATTTAGGGCAATAAAGGGAGTCAAATGTATCTTTGTGTAATCTTTTTAGAGTAAAAAGTAATATAGTTGAGTATTATTTTACACTTATTTGAGTAACGTTTTTCTTAGAGTCAAATTTTATTCTTAAATGAGTGATCTTCTCTATATCACTATGTTGAGTAACTTCTGAATTAATCTTCACTATGTCTCATCAACTCAGAGTAGTTTTTAATCCTTGAGGGTCAAATAAAACCACAACATTTACTAAAAATTACTCTATAAATATGACTCTCTTGCATGAGTAATATTTACTCCTTTTAGACTGGGACCAAATACTGTCTTTTTCAAAGTAAAATTTTCCTCATTTTGAGTAAAATGTACTCTGGGAAATGTACTGTGTATACATACATAATTTGAATTGAATCGATAACTAGTGAGTATTTCGATTATTGACAGTACAGTACTCTGCTGGACCTTGTAACAGAATGTTACAAATGAAGCTTTAAAGCAGGTATTTAGCATTGTGTATTCTCCCCAAAAGGGGGAAGATGGTGTTTTGATACGCAGTACCAGACGCAGGGCACTGAAGCATCAGAAAAGAAGACATTGCCATTTGAATGAAAATTAACAATCAATGTGACAGAAAATAATGTCGGCTGGAAATAGAGAAGATCACAGACGTTATTTTTCAAACTGTATGAATCAAGACTTTTAGTCCATGTTTGTTGCATAGCAGACCATATTTTGGCATTAAAACCATTAATTCTTTAAACATGCATAAGTGGAGTTATCTTATAGTCACTATGAATGAACTGGCTTATTGTCTTTGCACACTGATCAACCATATCTCTTGACTATTATTGTTTCAGGTGTGCCAAAATGAGCTCCAGCGGAAGAAAAGCGAGGCCAACATGCTGAGAGAGAAAGTGTGCAAACTGGAGAATGACATTGAGGCTTTAAAACAGACATTTTCTGCGACCAAAGAAGAAGTAACTCCTCCACAATCCTCAACCCCTGTGCAGACCGAAGCACCCCAGTGTCTGCAGGAGGAAGTGGCCTTACTCCGACAACAGGTGCAGGACGAGAGGGAGGCTAAAGACAAACTCTGTGTCAGCTTTGAGCAGGAGAAGCAGACGTGGAACAGGGAGAAGGAAAAGGTCATCAAATATCAGAAACAACTGCAGATTAACTACCTGCAAATGCACAAAAAGAATCGGGATCTGGAGAGAAGTTTGAAAGACGTCACCGCTGAACTGGAGGCTAAGAATGAACTCCGCACGAACATACCATACTGCTCAGGGCTGCAGACCTATGAGGATGTTATTGCCACTGAGATTTAACAAGAGACACACAGCAAGAAGTCAAGTGCACTGGGATTATTTAAGATATTTTTCACAATTTGAAATGTTAAAATGTTGTTCCTTATTTTATTTATGTATATATTTTTGTAATGTCTAGAAGAAATGCATCTCCAATATTCAGACCTGATATTTTTGGGATAATGCCTTAGATATATTGATTATTTGTCTACCCTGCTGGAGATGATTCTATCAGTAATAGTCTCCTACATCCTTTCCATGCTCCATTCCTCTCACTCAGTGGTGTTGGGTCTGCAGGGGCCAAACACTTTTTTAACACCTACTATTACCAGATGTCCCTATATAGTTCATTTGATCATTTGAATGGCAAAGCGCATGTGTGGAGCTGCAGTGAGCTGTATCAGAACAGAAGTGATACAAAACAACATATGGGGATATACACACTTGCGTCTACATTGATTTTGATGCATTGGTGAAGCTTCAGTTATGTTTACTTGTTCAAACTCCCCCTAAAGCACAAGTATGTTTTTCAGTTCTTCAGGGGTTTTTGAGCCTCCAAGCAACAGCCCACCTTATCGTTTGCAACACCTCTGCTCCCACTCAAAACAACTGCCTTTCACACTTTTTGTTTAGCAGATGTACAATTCTCGGCCCACGCTTTCTGTCAAAGAAGATTTAAACTATACAATCACGTTGAGCCCTATTTTTAGGAAATACAACATAACCAGAAACTACTTTGTAATGGAATTGAATATATGGTTGTTCAGTTTTCCTATTTGTATCCGAAAACACAAACGGCTGTGTTTATGTTCATGAGGGTTCATGAGGGTTTTGGCACAAACGCTTTGGAGACTTTCTCTCTCTGGTGCAACAACCCTCAACATTTGGCTCTTCTATTCTGGACCTATTCCATTGCACCACAAGGGCAAAGTAGATTGGGGGTAGAAAAAGTTTAACTACTCCACCCACTTCATTCTTCCAACTATTTGGGAAATCTGCTCACTCATACACGCACACACACTCTATTAAAATGTGCGGCAATCGGTAATGAGGCTGCTGGAGATGGCACAGCAATCCACTGCATTAGCACAGCATGTCTGAGGAGAGTTTGAAGGCAGAAAGCCAAGCCGAACTCAAGAGGCAAAGAGGTGCTATAAGCAGCAGCTGTAACACCACCAAAACACTAGTGTCTTGATGCTTGTTTCTGTCTGCATTTATGGCTGACACTAATGTTCTAGACCATTATCTTCATGGTAATACAATGCTTTTAGTGTGTTTAAGTGAATCTTAATGTGCACTAAGTATGTAAAGTAAAGAGAGAAGGTTGGTTAGTGGTATAACAGAGTTTTCCCCTGAGACATCATTCCTAGCTCAGCGCAGCCGCTTGGTCTTTAGGTTAATAAATAACAATGAAAATTAAAGCTGGGGTAGCTATCTTTCAAACCACAAGAATGTAAAACAAATCAATTTAACTAGTTCCTCACTCCTAAAAGCATTTTGTTCTATCACTAGTTTTCCCATGCATGTATTTTTGGCCTCTGTCACTTCGTTATAAGCTTTTATGGACAGAAAAGTGAAAAGGCTGACTTTAGCTGTCAGCCTAAAGTGTCAGATAGTGACTCCCATGGCTATCCTCACCAATGTGCAAAAGTTAAGTGTTTTATAATAAGATGAAGACAACATGTTGTGGTCTGATTTGATCACAACATTTTAATTTTACCTTTTTTGAAAATGTGATAATGTAGATGAACACAATGTGACTATTTTTTAAAGTGAAACGTTCACTTTAGAACATAATTAATATATAATAGTGGCCCTTTCATAATAAAATATGATTGATATAGGCAAATATTGGTTTCAGTTACAACTGCAAGGTGAACATCAGGTATAGGATATTGGTAAACAGAATAACTCTAAAAGATCTATTTAACTCTAAAACATGTATTTAACAGTATGGCAAAAAAATCTATATCCATGGGGACAAACAGATGAATCATAATGGGATAACCATTTGAACTCCAGACTTAAAGATAGTTCTTAGGGCTTTTACATAAAGAAACGTTTTCTTCATTACAGGAACATTTTTTTAAGTTAAGATCTGTGATTTTATGTTAAGATTGCTTCATCTGTGAAAGGAGAGACGTCAAAATCCATCAGTTGCTCATTCTACAGTCAATCCGGCCCAACCCTTCTATACCTTCCTTTATTTTTATTAACAGAGACAGACATTTTTCTCTGTGCAGAGATTTTTCCCACTTATGAAATTGATTAGTCATCAGAGCCTACTGCTCAACTACAGCCTACTGCCCCATCTCACAAATAGTTGTTTCATAATAGCTCCAACAAAACAATCCATGATAATTCATGTTGATATGTAGTTTTAATGTATTGTATTATTTATGAGAAAACTTTTTCAGACGTCACTCCTGACAAACACAAAATATATGCAGATTCCCAATACGATGTCACGGATATGTTTTCAAAGCAATCTGCCGCTGGCCTCTTTGTCAATTCCTCATTACAATTCTCTCTTGGACTTAAATAATGAGAGTATTGTTTTGCTTGCACGTCTAATCATCTCATTTCAGCCCTTTTGATCGTGTTGCCTTCCTTCATATGGAGCCTTTCGCACCAGTCCAGATCAGAACTGAAATCAAATTAAAAGCCCTTTGTGCCATTGTGTGAGCTTCTATTATTGACATGAAAAGGGGGAACAGAGAAGAGATATCAGAGGATTCACTGGTTGGACATAAAGACAAGAACAAAGAGTTGGTGAAGGAAGGTATGAGTCATCTCACAAATAATATTAGATTATGTCAATGTGGACAGCAAAAAACAGAGAATACCACTTTCAAATTAAACATTCTATGAACTATAGAAGCAGGTAACCAAGTTTTTGGAGTGTGAAATAATAATGAGCAATGCAATGGGCCCCTCAAACGATTTGCTGATCAATAAAGTTATTTTTAATAATCCCAATAGAGTAAAACCTTTAAAAAAAAAATACTATTTCAAAATGCCTGTATTCAGATTAACTCAGCACTTAAGTAAATGTAATTATAGTTTTCGAACATATTTCCCCCTGGTGTCCATTGTGTATGTGCATGAACTCCACAGCATTGAACAAGCAGATGTCAGGGTGTGATTGGACAGCAGTTAGGCAGTTTCCACAAGACACCAGTGATAATTTATCCCTGGCCTGCAGTGACTCGATAATAAAGCTCTCATATCCTGCTGTGATTCCCTTGATCGGCTGGCAGTCTACACAAAAGGCTGTGAATTTATGGGAAACGCTGGACCACATAGACTTTGTCCATATGAAATAGCATCTATTTTATATTCAAGCATAACATTGAAAATATTCCTTATATTTATGGTGTTAATTATGGTACTACAAATATTTTCCACAAACAAATGGGGGTATATTTTAGTATGACCTACACTCACCTCTTACAAACGCATTGTAAATATTCTGTAAATAATAGATAAGTCAATAACATTTTCAGTTCCTTCCTTGGCCTCATTACTCATTATGCAGTCACAAAGTGAAATATACATGCATACACTAGCCATACCCCTGAGCAATTAGTTGGTTCCAAATATCAGGGGGCTAGTTATTCAAGCATGTATTTCATATTTTATTGGTTTATTCAAAGACCTGCATACAGACCAAACGGTAGCAAAACACAGCCTAGGCAAAAATCCCCCAGCTCCTCGACAGTCAGCAAAGTAATTGGGGAGGGAGTCCCAGTGGATCCGCACGTACAACCGGGCCCATTGCAGCGGACATGAAAAAGCAGAAGAGGAGGTAGATAGGAGCCGGTGATTGTGTTCCTGCGCAGAGTGTTTGAGTGCAGGAGAAGCAGGGATTTTTGTGTGAATAGAAAAGGCCTGCAGTCTTTAGAGAATCTCTAGTTGACTGGGAAACCATCTGGCTCCCAACCCCCAGCTGCATAGAGCCCCCAGTAGCCAATTTCTATAGGGATGTCAAATTCAGCTCATCCCAGGTGGGTGGAGTGGTGGTGGGTGGGTGCCTGTAACAATGCCAAAGTAAACCCCTACTGCTTAAAGTTGTTTAATTAACTCTATCTGTTCTCTTGAACGCATCCCCTTGACAGATATTATGCTTTCATTGCAGTCCAACTTTTTTTATTTTAAAGCTTTGCCAATAATTTTCCTGCGAAAAGAGTGTGTGACAATATAGAGGAAAAAAAGAACTAAAAAAATAAATCAAATTAATAAATTAGTAAATATACCTTGACATATCATTGAAATATATAACATAAGTAATACAAACATTGTAAACAATGATTTACAAAATAAGTGTATATTTCATGAACATTATTCAAATTCCTTAGGTCTGAACACTTAATTTATGCACAGAAACAAAGTGATCATAACCAGATTTGATAATAAAGCGCAGGTGTGTTGCAGTCGTTTCATTTAGCTGAAATAAAAGACAGAAATTTTATATTTAAAATTTATATGCCGTGCTTATATTACAATGTGCATTATGTTACTGAGGAGACAAAAAAAACTCACCGAAATGACATTAGACTGAAGACGACCCTGTGTAAGAGGAAATTCTGCAAAGAGAATTGTCCATTAATCTTCTCTTAATCTCTTGATAGTCCATTAAGAGAATATTATCATTAATTACCTTTTTCTTCGACAAGCTCAAAATTGTTGGTTGCTTCTGAGGCACTTGTTTCAATTCGTATGTCCTTTACTAAAAAGAGGAGCAAACAAACTCTGATAATCACAACAGCCAGTATGAAGGTTTGTTAGTTTTAGTCTGTCTCACCGTTGTAGCTGTCCACGGTCACAGCTTTGAGGCTGGTAGATTTAGCAAAACGAATAATAAACTCCTGTGGAAACATCCCGGTTGTCATCCAAAACGTGTTAGTGCTTCTAAGAGGAAACAAACACGTTTGCTCACAGTCATAAAGGTACATTTGAATGACGATATATTGTGATATCCAGCACTCACCCATCAATAATGTTTTCAGGTGGATAATTCTCGTCATGGGATGAAGCGACCACCAGTTTCGCTCCTAAAGCGCTTAGAGTGGAATCGATCATGTTTTAATCTGATGCACAAATATAATATAACTGTGTGTGTGGCTTGGCACTACCAGCTTCAGGACAGGACGGTCTGGTTGCCAAGTCAACCACGTCGTCGCAGAATATATACGTCATCGTTTCAACGACGCACATTTTCGCTTGTTTGTTAGCACAGCTCGTGAGGTAGCCGATAGCAACTTAGAAATGGCAAATGGATGTAAAGATATGTTGTTTACGCGTGGAACTGGGCAAGTAAGTAATGTATAATTATTCACACACATAAATGAGAGATAGGTCGTCTGAGGGTTTTTGTTTTGTTTGGTTTGACACAAATGAGATGAGCAGGCAGCAGTGAAACATGTTTAAGGCTAGTTTAGTTCGCTTTATATGTTTTTATTTATGATTTATAATGTTTATGTGTAACGGCTAGGTCATGATTCACAATTCTTTCTTTATTGTTATGATTGGAAATTACGTTTTTGTTGGGGCAGTTTCAAATGCAAATCTGTCAAGTCTATTGACAGACTTTCAAGATTGGATAGTTACGATGTAACGAAATCCATCTAAATAGTTTCTCTCAAATGCACATGGCCTCTGTCATCTGTAGATCCAATTATTTTTCAGGCAGAAAAGTTTAGAAAAGACAGGACCCCTCTTACTCAGCTCTAACTGTGACACACAGTGCTCTTTCAAGTCTGCAAGTGTGAACCTGAAATGTGTTCTAAAAACAAAGAAGAGTATGACAAAATATGTAGAGTTCTGGGATTTAAAACATCCCAGAACAACATAATGACACTCAAGCTTTTTCCGTAATTGCTTGATTTTTATACCAAAGAAATGAGGAAATGCGAATGAGGCTCCCCTCATTGTCTGCTGCGTTGCCAGTAGATCCGTTTGCTTTGCCCTTCAGATAATGTAGTTGTGATAAATTGTTATAGTCAGAGTCCAAATAATATGGGACATGTCTAAAGTAGCCTACTTATTTCTGTACCAGAGTGACGACTCAGACATTTGGGATGATACAGCATTGATAAAGGCTTATGACAAGGCTGTCACCTCATTTAAGGTAAGCATTTCTATTTACACAAGCACATATTTTGTATATATTGTGTAACATCAAAGTCAATAACATGTTTATTTTTTTCAGACTGCTTTGAAGGGAGAAAAGGAGGAAGAACAACCACAACATTCCAAGAAAAAACAGCCAGGAAAGAAAAGAAAGAATAATAAAAAGAACCAAAGTAGAAAAAGAACAAACAAGCCTCCAGATAAATTGGTTTGTATATGAGAGAAAACACTACAACTTTCTTATTCTCTTTTATTGAAGCAATACAGAGTTTCTCTTCTCCCATTTTGTTTCAACCTAGTGGAAGGTTGGAGATTCGTGTTGTGCTTACTGGTCAGAAGATGGACAATTGTATGCAGCCAGTATCTCCTCCATAGATGAAGAAAGGGGTACTTGTGTTGTTACATTTACAGAATATGGCAATGAGGAAGAACAACATCTTGAAGACTTGGTTTCAGATATTTCAGAGAGCGAACAAGATGTACTTTCAAAAGTAAATGGCCATTTTTTTATATTTGATAAAATTATATGCAAGACGTAACGTGTGCACTTTTTTTAGTCAAAGGAAGTTGAGTCGTCAACCGAGGAAAGTGAGCTGTCGACAACCCCAAATGCACACAAACTGCAGTCGCATAGTAAGCATCAGTCCAAGAAAGATCACCTTCCTGGATTTCCTCCTGGACCACCTCCTATGCCAACTTTCAAGCAGGTACACTAAATAAAGGGAGGGATAATGTGTTAGCTAATTTCTTCTATAGAAGAACCCAATACTTTTAATTAGACAGGGCGATGCGGGAGAACTGACACATGGGAGCTTTTTTTCGGCTTGGTATAACTTCTATTTCCAGTGAAAACTATTTTCAACACAGCGTACACCTTGCATAGTTTGAATAAGTTAAATAATTAGTAATGAGGAGGATTAAGTGGCTGTTAAAGACACAATGGTAGAGCTCGTCACTCAGGGATCAATAGAAGCTACGTCCAAGATGACAATAATTACATAAATATGGGGGCGACAGTAGGTCAGTTGGTAGAGCATTGGCCTTTTGAGCCTGAAGGTTGTGGGTTCAATCTTCCCACAAGATTTTCTCCACCGACTCCCACTGATGTCTGATGTCGTTGTGTCCTTGGGTAAGATATTTTGCCTTAAGCACCCACTGAACCATCAAGGCTGTGAAATCACCGACAAAGCAGCCATCCTCCGGTGGACTCACCACCTGGAGGAGGATCAGTGAGGGGCTGGTGCTATGTGGATTGTTTGTAGAAAATGGATGGATGTAGGACATGAATATTACTTTATTCATTTTCCACTCTTTATTTTTTTTAGGCATTTTTCTAGAAATCAACTCCCGTTAGAGAAATATATTTTAGTAAAAATAGACTGCATTAGTGTTCCACTTTAAATGAGCAGTTGCCACATCTGTACACGCCACCGAAAATAAGCATTTTGACTCGGCTGCAACCCAGCAATGGATAAATCTGTGCACTGTGACCACGTGTGGAAACCAGTGTAATTTCAATAACGCGCTCTAGATGATTCAGGGATAGTCCAACAGGCAGTCATACGACCTAAAGGAACTTTGCTCAAAGAAGCATAGAATTAACAATATTTTCAAAGGAGAACTATGTTGTTTTATCTCATTGAAGGCCTGTGCTCAAAGCTTCTCAGAGGATCCACAGCAGAACCATGGGGCGCAGCAGCAGGGCTCATTTCTGGCATTGCATCTACGATAAATTTAGCATGTTTAGTCACTGTTATTCAGCATTGGGGGTTGCAAGGTGATTTCACACACACATTTTGGGAGACCCTAACTGAAAGATTGGAGAACTCTTAGACGAGGAGTAGATCATTCCTTTTCTTTGTTGTTTAGCCCATAAACAGCTAAATAGGATACTTCTCTGTAAATGTCCTGTGTTGCAGGGGGGAAGTAAGCGATCGAGTGGACATGGACCTGCCCCTCCTTCCTGGCCTCCTATGATGGCGTTTGGCCCCCCTGTAAGTCTATCAGCTTGTCTGTACAGTAACTAGAAACAGTGTTTCACATTTTGGTTTTGTTATGGCCTCAAATTTAAGACATTCCCTTTTGCCCCTGTACGTTTCCTGATGACTGTTCAAAGGTTGACCAACAGTAACTTTTAAGTCCACCATTGTGTAATCTCATCTCGGTATGAGGTTTGCAGGAGAATATCAGCATCACAAAGCCAAGTTACAGGCCATGTCCACACGTAGCCGGGTATTTTTAAAACAGAATATTTCCCCCCTCTGTTTATAAAATAATTTGCATCCACACATAACCGAACATCTGCGTTTTCAATCTCATTCATAACATTCCAAACATGTGCATCCTCTGACGTCCTGTCCTGCGTTGGGGAAAAACCACAGAAGTGGGCGGAGCTTTGATGCTGTTGTCGCACTTTTACCATGGATCTATAACTTTTACAGTCACAGTATAAACTCAGGGTAAGACATGTTTACAAGCACTGACCCCTGTCCTCAGCCCTGGTTTAGCCCTGGTTTAGCCCTGGTTTAGTCCTGGTTTAGCCCTGGTTTAGCCATGGTTTAGCTCCTGTTTTGGTTGTTTTTGAGCATGAGTCCCCGTGATCACTTTGCTGCTCTCTGATGTGGAGCGAGGATGTTTGCTGCTGTGAACCGCTCCCAGAAGCGAACAGTTTTTAAGGCAGTAAGATCCATGCTTCCTCAGTGATCAGAGGTCGCATGTTTTGTTTGTTTGTTGTTTTGGGGGCATACTGTGACGTGCGAAAACGCAAAGCTCCGGTTATCTCTGTCTACACGCAAATGCATAAACAGAGTTTTCAAAAATCTCCACTTTGCCCGGAGTTTTTTTTTATATATTCATTTATGATGCGTTGTCATGTAGATGACAGGTGCAAACGAAGAAAAATATCTGTGGTTTAGCAGATACCCGGCTACGTGTGGACGGGGCCACAGTTAAGGTACAGGCAGTCAAAATGAGCTTCCTCTGCAGAGTGGGCGCTATCTTAGAGATTGGGTGAGAAGCTTAGGTCTTCTTCCTCCGCTGGGAAGAAGACCTAGAACACTTTGGAGAGCCTGTGTCTCTCAGCTGGCTTGGGATCACCTTGGGATTTCCCCGGATGAGTTGGACTGACTAGAGCGACAGTGGCTCAGTTGGTAGAGCATTGGCCTTTGGGCCGGAAGGTCGTGGGTTCGAGCCCACCACAAGACCTACTTCACGATTCCCACTGATGATTGCGGTCGTTGTGTCCTTAGGCAAGACACTTAACCCCACTTTGCCTGAAGCCCCCGCTGGAAGATCAAGGCTCCTGTGGACTCACCACCTACAGGAGGATCAGTGAGGGGATGGTGCTCTGTGTACTGGGTGCAGCTCTGACTGCCACCCCCCTGACCCAGAAATGGATTAAAGGGAAGAAAATGAATAAATGGATAGATGGAGTTGGAGTTTGTGTGGATAGGGAAGTCTGGGTGTCTCTGCTTAGACTTCTGCCCCCGCGACCTGGCAATGGATGAAGCAGAAGAAAATGGATGAATGGAGGTTGCGCAAAGACGTCCAAAGCTCTGGCATATGAAAACAGCCTATTCATACAATTGAATGGTTTCAATTATATTATGTGTGTAAGAATTCTCAGTCGTTATCCAGGCATAGATCCAATCCAGTAACCATGGTGACAAAGGCTATCCATTAATATTATTGAAATCGCTTTTCTTCAGATGATCCCCCCGCCTCCTCCGATGAGTCCTGACATGGTCGATGATGAGGCTTTGGGCAGTGTCCTCATCTCATGGTACATGAGTGGCTATCACACAGGATACTACTTGGTATGTCTGTTAAAGAGGATTTGGATATCTGATCATGAAATATGTTTTCAACTGGTCATATTGAAATATTGCTTTGATTTTTGTTGATTTTAGGGATTAAAACAAGCACGAAAAGAAGCTGCCAACTGGACAAAAAGGCACCACAAATGAAAAGTAATTTTTACCATTTGGCATCATGTGTGCCTGATAAATTCTCATTGATAAACGACTGTCACAGATGAAATGTAAATTAGGTGTACTATAATTACAAAAGTAGCCTTTGTTGTATTTGTAAGTTTAATAAATCTCACAAAGCGTTCTTTCTCAACTCATGTTGTGTTGTGTTAATATGTTCGCACATCCTCAGAGAATGTATTTATTCATTTCATCCATCCATCCATTTTCTACCCTTTAATCCATTTCTGGGTCAGGGGGGTGGCAGTCAGAGATGCCACCCAAGTCTCATAGCACCAGCCCCTCACTGACCCTCTGCAGGTGGTGAGTCCACAGGAGGACGGCTGCTCTCTGAGTGTGAGCATAGCCTTGATCTTTCAGTGGGGGCTTTGGGCAGAGTGGGGTTAAGTGTCTTGCCCAAGGACACAACGACAGCAGTCATCAGTGGGAGTCGGTGGAGAAGGTGCAGAGGTGGGAATTGAACCCACGACCTTCTGGCCTTAAGGCCAATGCTCTAGTACCAACTGAGCTACTGTCGCCTTATTCATTTCAAACATAATAAAACGCACACTTAGATAACTTTGAAAAGGGATGGACAAAGCAGACGCACACGCACAGAAAACTCTGACCCTACATCTCTTCCTTCACCTGCTCCAGGCTGACGCCATAGTACACATAATTCTTTGGTAATTCTTTTCTTGAATAGCCCTTTGAAATGTGATGGGGTGTGAACATGCTTTTTTATTCCTTATGTTATTTCATTCCAGAGGTTAACCTCACGCAATGATATTGTGCTTCATACAATCCCTTTTCAAAACCATGTACTTTTAAGGGTACATGTATTTGTTGATGTGTCTTGTGCAAGTCTAAAATTAACAAATTAAATACATTTTAAATGTTTTTTAAAGAAGCTACACCAGATCTATTTTCTAATGAGTTAATAAAAATGCATATAACTACAAATAACTAGTATTAAAATCTGTAATCTAATTGAAAACTTGGCTCATTGATTCAGCTTGTATATGAATTCAGGCCGCAAAAGTGCTGAGTAGAAACCTCCAATCACAGAACGAGGAGCAGCGCTTGTAAGTTTGTCTATATGTCAGGACCAAACCTTTTAGATAAGATAAGATAAGATAAACCTTTATTAGTCTCACAGTGGAGAAATCTCAGTGTCAACGTTGCACATTACAGCAGAGAAAGGAAATAAGAGCACTCAGATTGCACACATCAAAGTCTATTATTTAAGATAATAAACAATAAATTTAAGATAAAAAATAAAATAAACTCTGGGCTATAATTGCACTTGGTTCGGAGTATTTACAGATGTCTATATTATACATTAGCAGCAGAGAATATGAATAATATTTTCACGCATTTGTTTATTCCATAGATCACATATGTGAAGTTTCAAAGTCATGTTTTTCTCTCTTCTTAAAATTTTATTTAAGGAAAATAATTGATGCGCTTGTATATTACTTTTATAAACCAAGTCTTTCAATTGTTCATTTTCGCAAGGGTCAATAGTTGCTTCAAGTCATCACCTGAAATCTAATTAATTGCAAAACTTAGATGAATTGATAGCTCTTTAGAATATACAGAAATTCATTCTTTCTATTCAATTTGTGTGCTTTCATAATGTAGAAGTGCATGAAATAGAATAATGAAGAGGGGTAAGCAAAAGGCATTCTCATCTTTAATTAAAATGATATTGAGAGTCTCGAAGATCAACATAATTCCTTTTATTCTCAATGATGATTGTAATTTCTTCAAATTAATCATGACTGGTAACTGATTAGTGGCATAATTTATTACCAAACCACCACTCATGTTGTGACCCAAAATATGAATAATATAACAAAGCGTACAAAAGAGGAGGCAACAGAGGCTCAGTTGGTAGAGCATTAGCCTTTGGGCTTGTAGGTTGTGGGTTCGATCCCACCACAAGACCTGCTACAACTCCCACTCATGTCTGCTGCCGTTGTGTCCTTGGGCAAGACACTTAACTCCACGTTGCCCAGAGCCCCCGCTGAAAGAACAAGGCTGTTTCACTGCTGACGGAGCAGCCATCTTCCTGTGGACTCACCACCTGCAGAGGATCAGCGAGGAACTGGTGCTATGAGCATTGGGTCGCAGCTCTCATTGCCAATCCCCCCCAACCCAGAAATGGACTAATAAAGGGGTAGAAAATGAATGAATGTGTATGAATTATAACAGCCATGTTTATCAAATAATAGTGTACTCCAACTTCTAACCTTATTATTGAAATTGTGAAAGAAATCATAAACTATTCAAGATATTTACCCTCATGAGCACAACAATAGATGCAAAGAATCTAGAGAACTTTTCTAGATTCCTAGGAAGTGGTTGCAATTGCCAGTATTGTCCAGCAGAAGTCAGAATAGTCTAATACAGAGCCAGGGGTATGGGGAATTCCTTATTCTCATACTCATGAGTTCATTATAATACATCCATGGTGCATACCTGTACAATATCCCTGCTGCTAAAACTGATTTTAGCCATAGACTTTTTTTCAGTACTCTACTTGCTGAGGATGTAGTCCCTCCAGAAATTGCTACATAGTTTATTCAGACCAACAGTCCATGCCTTGCACTTAAGCTTTTCCTCTCCCCTGAGGTGATTCCTCCTTCTCCACCCAGTATAGGAGCACATCCATCATAATGTTTTTCTCCTCATCTCGGATAAGCACATATTTCAGCATGCTCCTTGCAGCATCACACTGTCACATTTGCGAGGAAGCCTTAAAACTGATACTAAATTGTTCTTTACACCTGAAGAAATGTAATTCACACATTCAGTATGCTATAAATGTTAGAGACTTGTGGAGTGCTGAATGTGCAATGTGGTATTTACATTTTAGTCTTTACTCTTACATTTTGAATGGTAGGGCAATGCTTGAGGTTAGGTAATAAAAAGAAATATTGTGGAGGAACGGTTGCAAGTTTGAGTATAAATATAGCATAGAAACCACATGTAATTGCAGAGGAATCTGCCACAATCATTCTGCTGAGTCTGTGGCACTATTCAGTCTCTCTAAACACTTCCCATTTTATCTATAGCTCTTGCAATTTTACTCCCACTTTTCTGTTGTAAACCTGGTGGGTACTTCCTAATGCAACAATTGTGAATGAAAGCTGCCTGTGGTAGTTTATGTTGCATCTAATATTATGGTTTTCATACATTTCGGATACATCATTCCTTCTGAATGTGATCTTGGTTTAAAGCTCACTGTTATGAACTGAGTGGTGCATTTTTTTCCCTTTGGCCTCCTTTGTCTTCAGCAGTTTATTGTGCATGTATATGTTCTGCACAGAGAATAGGAGAGTGAGATAACAGACAAATTTTGTTCATAGGATTTACAAATAGAATGCAGTACAAACAAGGGCTGATAATGCAGACCTATCTTTCCCCCCCAGATGGGCTGTTCAAATCTGCTACGCTGAAGCTTGCATGTTCATAAGCCCCCCACCCCACCCCTCCCCATCTTTTAAGCTGCCCACAGGGTTCAGCGTGCATCACCCAAGCCCCACAGGAAGTTTAAAGGGGGAACCTCGCACTGCTCCTCCCAGTGACTACCCTATGACCAAGAGCAGCAGGAGGTATGTAAACATATAATCTGCATTTTACCATAAGTCCCCCCTGAACACACACAGAGCCAACAGACTGGAAAAGGCACCAGAACTCAAGATTGCATTGCCATATGAGCTAGCGCCTTGAGCTATTTACTCAAGCCCCAACATCAACAAACACTTTTAAATGGGAGACTTTAGGGGAGATTAGTGCCACACTTGCACTAGCCTTTTCCTGCCTGTTTCTGAACTACAACGTTATTCCGTTTAATCCATGTTACACACATACAAAATACTTGAACCACGTGAACATGATTTAACTATTCATATCAAACAATTATAATAACAAACTACTAATGCTATAGCAGAAAAACAATGTATGTCAACAATTACCCTTTACTTTGCCATAACATCCATGCATGTATATTATTATGTTGAATTTTATGATGTACAGCAATGTAATAATATAAGTTTCCACACTTATATCCTTACTGTTAATAAAGCTTACAGTTTGACAGTTTCATTTTTCACAGCATGAGTTGTGCTGGACTGTAGGTGACCTCATCTCCTCTTTGATTCCCGTCTGCCCCTCTGAAAGTCCATCTCAGCAGGCACTGAGTTCCATGCACTCATCACAAAACTCTGACAGTCATTTCATTTCACTCTAATGTTTTAGAGGCTTGCAGCTTATCTGGATTTACCAGATAACTTAAACTAAACTGGAGACTTATCATGATTCTCAAATATCCTTGGAGAAGCCTCTGTTCATTAGTGCAGAGATGGGCAAATTGCCTTAAATAATAATAATGATAATGATAATAGTAATAATAATAATAATAATCTTTATCATTCTGCTCATTATTCCTCATTGTTCATAAAGCACTTTTTTAAATGCACTGTTTACAAAGATGATGGGTATGGTTGTGTGTGTGTTTTTTTTAATTTACAGTATATTAAGTGAACAAATTATTTAATTATTAGTAAAACGATTGTTTTGCAAGCCTACATTTATACAAATTTACAGAAAATGGCTCAGGGCCATGTTAGGTTTTTGCAAGTCTACACTTCTAGAATTGCTCGTTCTAATCCCATTTTTGTCCTCCAAGATATTAAGAATTTAGAGCTAGTATAGAATTTAATGTAATCTTTAAGGCCCCTACACAATAATATTTTAGCAAGCTGTAATATTAGAAACGTAAATGGTTCCCTACAGTAATATTTTGATCCTGCCTCATAGCCTGATAGCCTATAGGCAAAATCGTGGAATCTAATTTAAAAACAAATTTTAAAAAACGAATATGCTTAAAAATTGTGACAGACTGATACAGACTGTTAACATGTATACTAACATACTGGCGATGCGTTTCCAAACCTCGCCACAAGGGGTCACCTCCTGATCGCGGGGCA